AACGCATGAAGTAGTTGAAAGAATTGAACCCTACCGAACTCCTTTCATGCAAATACGAGTACTGGGTGTTGATCACCAGTTAGGGATAAAAGGAAAGTTGTCAACGTACCCAATAACTAGCACAAGACCGTTGACTGTCTTCCCCGCAATATAAATGATTCATTCACTATTCATGTAAAATTGAAAAAAAGACCGGTTTTCAAATCATATTTCATGTATGAACTTGTGAATACGAAACGGTGTATGATGCAGCTTACAATCTCTATCAAACACCATTGCACCAATCCGAAAATGTTAATGATCTCAATTGGCTGTTCAGTCATCAAAAGAATTTACGCAGAATGTGTCTGAGCTGCATGTAAACATGTCCGCGAAATTGTGTACCGAGCAAGTCAGGGTTAACAGTTAAAGATGTCCAAGAGGAAAACACAATAGTTTCTTTTCCAAAAAAAATTTAACAACAGCCACTTTGCGAATTAGAAACCTGTGATCGCCGCAAGGCGACCACAATTTTTTGCATTTTGTAGTGAATCGTATTTTAATTTTTTTAAAATTTATATTTTACATAATCTTAATATCTTATTGAGAGTACAAATAAGTTTCCCCCGTTTTCTATCAAAAATTAGCAAGTTATTGTGAAACATTATCTTTTATTCAAAGTCTTCTCCATTACTAGACACTAATTTCCCCCATATTTCTTTGAGAATTCGGATAACCACGTCGGAAGAACTCTTGCATCTTTCGAGAATATCCACGAATTCCTTGGTTTCTTCAAATGATTCTGCTCAGACAGACCATGTGCCGGAATAGGTCATAATATGAAGGAACAAGGTCTGGCGACTTCTTATTGATGTGTTCCCAAATAGCAAAATCGACGTTTAATGTCTCTTGGCTTCAGTTTGTATGGAGTTCAACTTCCTTGTTTTTGGATCATTCCCAACGATATGAAATTGCTTGCTGAATTATACTTGTAATAGAAGAGCAAGTTCTTTTTTGCGTTTAGGAGAATCTTCTTCCAATAATTCTTCAAATTCCTTGTCTTCGTACAATTTCGGCCTTCCACGCAAACTCACCGTTTTTTTTTGTATTCTAAGTCACAGAAGTATTGCTCACTCACAATTTTTATTATATTTTAATGCTTTAAGTATAAGTTTCAATAATCATTCTACTTACAATTTGGAGAGGGGAAAAAAAAAGACTAATTTTTAAAGATATGTTTGCTCCGTATTTTTAAATTACATTTATTTAATATTTATCAAACTTTGTTCAAATTATATTCTATAGATGCTTCCATAGCATCTCGGGCACAAGATTTTGTAATCTTTCACCTATTTATATGTCTTTTAATTCAGATTGCCATTTTCTTCCTCAAAAAAAATAAATAAATAAATAAATTAAAAAAAAATCGATTAAATAATTACTCTTTTTTAAATTTTAACTTAAATATTTTTTTTTTAGAATAAGCTTTTAAAAATAAATTTTAATAGCATTTAAATATTGAGTGTTTTGCCGCCAGAATTAATATTAACTAGCATAACATATTAAATACTTTTCAAATGAATGAATTTAAAATGTCCACATTTTAATGAGATGATCTAACTCTTATTTGAACTCTTAATTTCTTTATTATTTTAAATATTTCATACATTATAGTAAAATTTTGCGACATAGCAAAATAAATTTGTTACATTTAATATTCTGCATTTGAATAAGAAATCTCAACTCATCTAGTTTGTTATTAAATATGACAAAGCTCCAATTTACTCATTACTGACTGTTTTACCCCATGCTTTGATTTTAAAGTACTATCTAAAAAACTGATATTATTTAAATCATATTTAACCCTTTGAATCGCATTAAAAGAAACAATTGCAAAAAATTTCAAAGAGAAAAAAAAATTATAGCATATATTATGAAATGAAAAAGTTTTAATTTATATATAAGGTATTATTTTCTCTAAATGGAATAAAAAGAAGATATATAATTTCAGAGAAAAAAAGTTGTAAATATTAAAGTTATCTTGAGTCTATAAAAAAAAAAAATTACCTGTTTCTTAAATGATTTTATTTTAACAAAATCAAATTTTTACAAAAATCAATGAAATTTGTTAACTCACATTGGAACTCAACTCTTTGTTAAAATAATAGAATTAAACACAACTGAAGATAGATTATAAGAGCTTGCCAAACAGAGTTCGCAAGATTTGGGACAGAAGGGAGTTTAAACTATCCTGTCCCTTTTATTAAAAGTGTCATAATTTTAAAAAAATAGTGTGAAAAACAAAAGGCTAATTTTTGAACGAGAAGAAAATGAAGACAAGTTTTTGTTTTATTAAAAAAGTTTATTATTATTTTTAATAGTGCATTATTTATCCTTGTGCAAAAACATAGTTTATCAGAATTAAAAGCATATTTATTCATATTTAAAGGATTCAATTTTGTCGTTCAATGAACTGTGGAGCTTCAAAACTTATAAATATTTTCCTTTAATAAGTTAAAGCAAATTGTATAAAAAAATATCAAATATTCATTAATATATGTAATGCTGTGTACAATAGTTAAACCTTTCAGAATTTTTACCTTTTATCAGAGTTGGGCACAGTAAAAACCATGCATCCTGTCCAAAACCCTGATTACAACGCTTTAATTTAATTATTAAAAAGCATCCTCCATCAACTAATAATTCAGTGACTGTTCAACTGGCAGACATCAATACTTTCACGATATCTAATTGACAATCATTGCTTCACTTTTAAAATCTTTGACCATTAATATTCAATTATCAACCCCTGTTATAACAGGGTGCATAGCCAAATTATTCAACAAAAAATAAGCACCTTTTAAGCACTCAAATAATATTTTTAAGCACTTAAAAAAATATAATAATTAGGCAGGGTTGGAAAGTTTTTGACAATTGACGGTTTTAACAGTCATGTCCAAAAAAAAAAAAAATTTTTTTTTTTGGCATTGTATTTGACAATTGTCAAAATTTTTGAACCATGTTGTAAATCAAATGGCGTTTTCATACGCTACGGACTGACGATGCGACGAAACAGATAGGGGTTGAATTAAGTGTGAAAACGTTGCATAGAACAATGTGAGCAGTGTCTTTCTGCATAGTTCGTAGCGAAAATCAACATGGTAAAGGGAAAATTAAGTACTTTTTAAAAACACCCAATGAAAAAAGTACCTTTATGGGCTTTTAAAAAATCGAAAATAAGCACCTTTAAGCACTTTTTAAAAACGGTACGCACCCTGTATAACTATTTTTTTTTTTACATGTCAGTGATGGCTTTACAAAAATATTATTTTAATTTTAACGCCAATTAAATAATTTAAACACAATTATTGAAGCAATGTAAAAATAGATTTATACATTACTTGGAGATAAAATTTTGTCTCGAGTGCTATTTCATGCTTATATTATTATTCATTAAAAGAAGAAAAAAAAAAAGACATACTAGTTGTGAAAATGAGAATTATAAACAAAGGAGAAATAATTTATTATAACACAATAAATATTTATAATCCATAATTTTTAGATGCAAATTCTTTTAATAAATGTGTGCATAGTTCTAAGAAACATAAATACAGCCAAACCTCGCTATAGTGAACTCCCGGATATAGTGAACAAAATGTTCGCTCCTGTGCCTTGCTACGCACGTATAATGTCAAGTTTTGGGCTATAGTGAGTGAACCAAAGGGAGGAAATTGGATATTATGAACTTTTTTCTTCATTTTTTGGTAATTTTGAAGATTCTACATAGATCGACTTTTTAAAACCATCTACAGAGTGGAATGTAGCATTTTTTCCTGTTTGCATCTCCTACCCTCAGTTTCCCATCCCTAAACATTTTGTACGTAAGACGAAGAGTCAGGGTTGGCAAGTTTTTAACACATGACGGTTTTTACTGTCATGTCAAAAACCCATAGTTTTGGTAAAACTATATTTTTATTTGAGTTTAACTGCTTGTAATTTAAAATTAATTCATTTTAGGCAATAAAATTAGAAAAAAAGTTGTTAAAAGATATTTAAGAACAGATTCTTGCATTTTCCCTATCAAAACATACTATTTGAAGTAAAATATTAGGATACTAAACAAAATTTTCAACATTTCCAAGCATCATTTTGTTTGGCATATTACATTACTGAAGAATGTCAAGTCATTCTTGACTTTGCTAGTTGCTTGAGTTTGTTAGTAGCTACAAGTTTTGTTTAGCTTATTTCTAATATTTAAGAAATGCCAAATTTTAAGTTCTTCTTTTTAGTTCTTGAATTTATTAATAGTTCCAAGCTTTTTTGTTTGTTTGTTTATTTCTAACAATTAAGAAGAGCAAAATTTTGAATCCTTTGCAAATCAAGCTATAATGATAAAAATAAGTATCACTATTTTCAATAAGTATATTACAATATTTCGATATGAATGTATATCCTTCTATAAGAATACATGTATATAGTTGCAAAATCAATAGCAATCATTTACAAAGGCAATTATGTGAAAATAATATATTGTCCGCTATAGGCCATAAATTAAAGAAAACAGTAGGTTTTTGACAGTTTTTACCACTGTCATGGCAAAAACCAGTTATCGACAGCAAAAACCCAACCCTGCGAAGAGTCATAAAAAATAAAAGTTAATAAATTTTTTGTTACTACATGTTGCTTTTTAATAACTTTTGTATTTCTTTTCATGGGTCATTTATTTAAATAATGTGTAATAAAAGGGAGCAGTTCGGAAAACTTAGCTAAAATTATTTGCAGTACGAAAAAGTGAACCAAAATTTCGGTCCCTCGAAGGTTCGCTATAGCGGAGTTTGACTGTATCAAATTAAGGAAGAATGCAGTAAAAGAGAGTTTATATATGCATTTTATTCTTTATACAAAACTGTACAACTTCAACACGTTCGATTAGAGTTAAGCTTGGCTAAAAGTAAAACATAAAATATCAAGCATGAGACGTCAGCTGTAGCTATTAGTAAATTAAAAAGGCATGAGAGCAATTTCTGTAATTAAATTTCTTTATTATTCCAAAAATAAATCCAGGATATTTTCAAACACCTTTCTACAGCATAGGAGGTTTCTCTTGAAAACAATAATCATAAATTGAAAAGAAACAAACTGGGAAAAAGGCTTTTTTCTTTAAAAAAAAAAAAAAAAATTTAAAATGAAGTTTCCATAATGTAGTTTAAATCAGAGTGATAATATATGAAGTAAAAACTAGAAGAAAAATAACATTTATCTACAATGGTTATTAATTTAGAATAATTATAATAAAACAACAACTTTATATGCATTATAATTGTTAAAAATGAAGAATTAAAAAGTAAAAATGCCATTTATACAAAGATTAAATAAATAGTTATCTAAAAAGTACACTATAACAATCACTTTAAATGCAATTTAATTGAATAAAAGTAAAATAATTGGGATATCAATGAAATAAACCTCCTATGTTCAGATATTTTACAAATGAACAACTGATTTTATTTTATACTAACAGCATTGTACACTTTACTGTTAAAGCTCATAAAATATACTTCAAGCTAAACTAGAAAAAAAGATATTTTTCAATTTATTAGAGCTTGTATCATATTTGTGATTATAAAAGGATGGCTGGAGAAACATTTTGTTTAAAAAATACTGAGAAAAATAAAAGAACATAGTTTTTTAAAAAAAATATTTTTTAATCGGAAAAATTTAACTTGAATAAGATTCCAATACACTTTTTTTGAAATAAAATTAAAAAAACATATTTATTAACTACTACAACACAACAAAAATATTTTCGAGGAATATGTAACAAAATATAGAAAAAAACTGGAGCAAAAATAAAAGTCATTATACATGGTGTACATAAATTCAAAATGTAATAGAAATCACAAAATCAATTTATTCAAAGTAAGCAATTCTTTATTACATACACAGACAGAGAAGAAGTGAGGGGACAGAAGTAAAACAAATTCATTCTGTTCACTGAGCTCATTTCCCAAAGTATGTCCATGACTATAGAATGAGCAAATGAATATTATGCATGACCAGTCATGTTTTTTTTAATAATTTTTTTTTAAAAGAGTTTTTTTTTTATCATCACAAATTGCTAAAGAATGCAGAAGTGCTACTCATGCCACATATGTGTAGAGTTTTCTAAAAGTAAAAATAGAATATTAATTAATGAGTCATTTATTTCAATGCTGTAAATGAACAATTAATATACACACTGCAAATCTAACTTAGAAGACAACAAACATGCCAACATTTAACACTAAACACACCATAACCGGTCAGATGACTGTTAAAGAACATCGAAAATGCTTATCGTTTTTGCACATTTGACTTCATGATTTTTTCTACAGTTAATGTTCTATTATTACTTATTTTGTTTGTTCCGAATGATACTTGTCCCATACCTATTTCTACCACAACTGGCCCTTTGACCAGGAGAACAATTTATTGCTAAAGAAGTTAAAAATCTAAATTTTTAACTTCTTTTGTTAACTATAATATTAACTCATTACTGCTGAAACATTATTTTTTGAAGATTTCAGGAAAAAATTAAAATTGCAGATTTTATATTATGCTAACACTACACAGTATATTGCCAAGTTGACAGAGCTTTTTAATTACATTGCAATTTAAATTTTATTTCTTCAAAGTTTTAAGTAACTGGTAAAATTAGCAATGTGTACACAACAGTAACAAATATTTTTTTTGTTAATTTATTACTGAATCTTGTAAATTATCTGAACCATACCCATGTTAATTTTCTGTAAACTAACCACTGCTATTCTGTTTGTTAATAAATGAACCTGCATCATTCCACAAGTCAGTGATCTTTTTGATGCGCTGTCGAAACACCACCAGACAAAATAAAAATCTTCATTTTTTGGAGTACCCTTAGTTATATGTGTTCTACTCAAATTCAGAAAAGCATTAATATATATATGTGTGTATATATATATATACATACAGTGGTGGCCAAAAGTGTGGACACTTTTTGAAAGTTTCGTTATTTTCAACTTTGTGTGCTTGTAGAATATATTAATTTTCACTTAAATACAAACGTTTATATATCAAATTGAAGGTAATTTAATGTAAAATTTAATAATAAATACAGTATTCCAATATCTGTATTACAAAAAAAGTTATGCAATTAATAGTAAGATCTATCTTAGATTTGCATTTTTTTTAAAGTGATACTTACACAATCAATACTTAGTAAGATAACCCTTAATTTTTAAGACAGATTCACAGCGTCTTTTCATCGAGTGAACGAGTGTTTGGAGTTCATCTTTCGTTATCACATGGTGCCAAGAATCAATTATAGCTTCACTTAGTTGTCTTTTATTGGATGGACGTTTTTTTCGTACAAGGATTTTCAAACGTCGCCACAAATTTTCAATTGGATTGAGATCAGGGCTGTTTCCTGGCCATGGTAATATATCTATGCCTTTATTTCAAAAGCATGCTTTGCATACTTTTGCTGTGTGGCATGGAGCTGAATCCTGCTGAAAAATAAATGGTTTGGTGTTGGGGAAGAGATCCCTGATGGAAGGTATCAATTTTGGTTTCAGGACATTTTCGATGTACTTTTTGGCATTCAGGATGCCAAATCAGGCCGAAAAAAATGCACAAGTGCTACTACCGATAGAAAAATTAAATATTAATGAATTCT